CTTAATATTGCAGCTTACTTGGTTAATAGTAGTCCCTCAAGTGCCATTAATTTCATATGTCCAGAAGAAAAATGGTCTAATAGGAAGCCCAACCTAGGTCACCTTAGAGCCTTTGGATGTGCTGCCTATGCACACACTAGTGAGGGGAAACTAGAACCTAGGTCTTTGAGATGTGTATTCTTAGGTTACCTAATAGGGGACCAAAGGGTATAGATTGTGGGAAAGAGAGGCACCGGGGGTCAAAGTTATTATAAGCAGAGATGTAATCTTTAACGAAAATCCATTTCCTTACAAAATCTCTAATAATCCTACAGGTACCTCAACCAGTGAGGAGATTAGTCAAGATTAGTATAATGGGACACAAATTGAGGTGGAGCAGGTCAAAGTTCAAACTGAATTGGAAAACCAAGAATAAACACCTGCAACTTCAGACTTGGAACATGAATCAGAGGATGATCAAACTGAAATTTCAGATCAGCCCCAATAGGAGTCATTAGCACACTATCAACTCACCAGAGATAGAACCAGAAGAGAAATTAGACCTCCTACAAGATATTTATATGCTGACTTAGTTTTTATTGCTCTGGTTGCAGGTGTTGAAATTCAGAGAATTGAACCAGATAGCTACGATAAAGCTATAATGTCCAAAGACAGGGAGAAATGGCAAGCTGCCATGGAAGAGGAGATGTACTCCTTGAAGGTAAATGGGACTTGGTCCCTAATACCCTGTCCTAAAAATCAGAAGCTCATTGACTGCAGATGGCTGTTTAAGGTAAAGGAATGTATGATTTCTATTGATCCACCTAGATTTAAAGCTAGGCTTGTAGCAAAAGGCTACACCCAAAGGGAAGGGATTGATTTCAATGAAATCTTCTCCCTTGTAGTCAAGTATAAAACTATTAGGATCATACTATCTATAGTTGCACATCTAAACCTAGAACTAGAGCAGTTAGATGTAAAAACTGCTTTCCTGCATGGTGACCTAGATGAAAAAATCTTCATGAAATAGCCTATGGGATTTATTGATAGAAACTGCCCTGAACATATTTGCCTGCTACATAAATCCTTGTATGGGCTTAAACAAGCCCCTAGACAATGGTATAAAAGGTTTAACACCTTCATTACCAGTATAGGATTCCAAAGAAGTGAATATGACAGTTGTTTCTATTATGATTTGAATGCTGGTTTGCCTGTGTATTTACTGCTTTATGTGGATGACATGCTGCTGATTAGTAAATCAAAAACTAGGATAAATTATATGATGTCTAGGCTGAATTCTGAGTTTGACATGAAGAACCTAGGTAGTGCTAAAAAGATCCTAGGGATAGTCATTGACAGGAAAAGAGAGGATTGTGAACTAAAACTTCAGCAGTCTTCTTACCTACTAAAACTGATATCCAGATTTGGAATGTCAGATTCCAAGCCAGTATCCATGCCCATAGCCAGCCATTTTACACTTAGTAAGACACAATGTCCCAAGTCTGAAACTGAACTCATTAAAATGGAAAAAAATACCTTATGCCAATGTGATAGGATCAATCATGTATGATTAGCACTAGGCTTGACCTATCTTATTCCATTTCACTTCTTAGTTGTTTTATGTCCAATCCAGGTATAGAACACTGGTTAGCATTGAAATGGTTACTGAAATATATTAATAGTACAATATATGTTGGGTTGGAATATAAGAACAGAGGAAATTCACTTTATCTTGTGGGATATGTATACTCTGATTTTGAAAGAGACAGGTACACAAGAAAGTCTACCACCTCATACAACTTCACATTGGGAGGAAATTGCATAAGTTGGAAGTCCTAGCTTCAACCCATTGTTGCCCTCTCCTCCACTAAAGCAGAATACATTGCTGTAGCATATGTATTCAAAGAAGCATTATTGCTTAAGGGGATTCTATCTGAGGTGGAGCTGATTGATGAGGAGACAGCAGTGTTTTCAGACAGCCAGAGTGCAATTCACCTAAGTAGGAACCCAGTCTACCATGAAAGGACGAAGCATATGGATGTGAGATACCATTTGTAAGAGGTTTGGTGGCTAAAGGAATCATAGACTTGAAGAAGATATCAACTGAGGACAATCCGGCTGACATGGGCACAAAGGTAGTAACTGTCACAAAGTTCAAACATTGTTTGAACCTGCTATTTATAAAATAAGCAGCAAACAACAGAGCTGAGAAGGATTCTTGGGAGGTAGCTGCACTAGAAAAAATCATACTAAGCAGTATGGTTGGTTTCTTTTTTGTTTTTGGAGCTTCAAGGTGGAGAATGTTAGTGTGAAGCACAAAAACGATGTCGTTGAACTTTTAGTGCAACACTGTCGTTTTACGCAGTTGGCTACAAAGAAAAAATCCTAACCATTGAAAGCATAGAGCATCTAACGGCCAGGTTCATCTCTCCTCAAAACAGAATGAAACGCACTACTTACTCTGTTGTAGAACGAGTTTTACATGCTATCTTTTTTTTAGATCTTTTTGTTCTCGCTGTATCTCCTTGTTTGATTGTAATCTTGGGTGGTTGATTGTAATCACGTTTTAAGGGTTGTGTTTCCCTTGAGTGTTGAGGATCTGAGTGTAGTATTCTCATAGGAAAGATTGCTGGTTATTGTGAGAGAGAGATTCGCAGTATATGAGTGATTGGGTTTGGATTTGGTTGTATTTGTGTTGGATTAATCTTTAGTGCAGTGAGTCCCAAGTTTCTGGAGCTCAACGTGGATGTAGCTTATCCTGTATTGGATAAGTGAACCACGGTAAAATCCGTGTTATTGTTTCTTGATTCCTTTTACAGTTTTGATTGTGTGTGTTGAGGATGGAATTGTGGATTGTTAGGTTGTTAGATTTGCAGATTATCTCTATACTCCATTTTCACCATTTTTATACCTGAATGTTAAAAAATACTTAAAAACCTCGTCAAAGCTCAGGTGTTAAATATATATATATTATTCAAACGAATACCCACAATGCACTTGACTTTGCGCCTCATAAACCCGATACCTCCAGCCCAGCCTTTTCTTACTGCTTTGCTTTTTCTCATTCATCTGTTGCTCCTTCTCATTCATTTGATCCCTCAAGCTCAGCTTATTCCTCTCCTTCACCCGCTGCGTCCCAAGCATTGACTGACATTTCTTTCTCACGTCTCTTTTTACTTCATTATCTATTTTAAAACAAAACACCTTTTCTCTTACTTACAATTATATATATGAATATTATGATTTAAAAAAAAAAAAAAAACTAATTAAGGCAATCTGAAAGTTATAATGATTAGAGAGAACACACACAGGTAGATGGCTGATTTCTTGCAAACTTTAATGGTGTTGAAGTCTAAACTACGCGTCAATACAGGTAATCGTGCCAAGCGATGCAATGCTATCTCCTCATTTTTATCACGTGCAAGAGCCATCTGTGGGTGCCTCTCCACCAACTTTACTTACCATACCAGCCGCGGTTTATGAGGCTGATAAGCAATTCGATGTGATCATTATCATGATCTAATATCACATCTACAGTGGCTTAATAAAGGTATTCTACCGTCTCTTTGTCTCCAATTAGAGCTGCCTTGTGAAGCGGTAAAATATCATTGTCTCCTCTAATCTTTACTATGTCTTCATTCTTCTTCATCATAGCTTGACAATTTCAACCCTCTCGGACGCAGCTGCAAGAAAAAAGGCCGTATTGCCAGCATTATTTTTTACAGCTAAATCCTCTAAATTCATTTTTTCAAGCAGCTTTTTCACAAAATAAGTGTGCCCTGCTGCAGCTGCAATATGGAGAGCGGTGCCCCCATCCTTTCATAGCTTAACTGGTATATCAATATCCTCTTCCTTGTAAATTCTTTCAACAGTGTTCCAATCACCTTCCAATGCAGCCCTGTATTGTACCATATATATATATATAATGCTTTCTTATAATACAGAGTGAATCAAGAATAGAAAGAGGAATTTGTGAAATTAACCATCAATAAAAATTTAATATCTATTTTTAACCCTGGAACTTCATAAGCACTTCATAACAAGAGAGAGATTAACGAAAAAAATTAACGCGGACTTAGATACTAAATGATATTCAGAAAAGGCCTCTAAAATAAAAGACAGATGCGGCATTCATTGCTATGTCAAATCGTACCATCCATTTGTTTATTAGGTGGAGCAATCACAATCTCAACATTTTCTTCAGTTGAGGTCCTTCCTAAGCCCCATGATTTATTTTCTCGTTTATTCGTGGTACATCTACAATGAACTTTATAAGTATTAGACAATGAATATTGCAGCATAATATGAACTTTATATTCTAATGGATTCAAATTGGGAATGAATATTAATTAAAATAATAGTCATTCATCTCAAGTACTTCAAGATCTTATATATATGTAGGATAATAAGAAAAATCTTAGCTACTGTGATAAATATATTTGCACATGTAGCAAACTGAAAGAACAAAACTAATGAGTCCTACTTAAGACTCTACAAATCAAAGAAGAAGAAATGGGTTGAAAGACTTGCCTCTTTTGGTGCCTTGGATACAATCTGCATCTAGCTAAATTTATATATTTAAAAAAAAAAAAAATCATGAAATGAAGAGTAAGAGAATAATAAAGGGCTAAATGACATGAAGTTAAGAGTAAGAGAAGAATATATGGCTCAAATGGCCTGAAGTGAAGAGTAAGAGACGAATATATAGCTAAATTGGCCTGAAGTGAAGAGTAAGAGAAGAATATATTGCTCAAGGCCTCGTAAAAGGAATTCGTGAGGTCAAGCGGAGTCATAAATAACCTATTCTCTTTCAAAGTGAAGGAGATGCTAAATGATGATAACATTTCCTAAGAAGAATTCTGGGATTTCTGCAATTTGTGTCTTCCAAAAGGAGAAATATTATGTCTAATTAAATTCCCATGCAGGATATATTGAAGTGTTTGAGTGATATTAGATAAAATGTTGGGATTTGTTAATCATGATTTGATAAATTAAATAAATCTTGTTCATTACTCAGCATTTCCAGTACATTATGAAAAGATTGTTTTGCAATGACCTAATACAAGTGATGATTTGAATTAGCAAAAATACTAAAATTATACAAGTGACTAATCATATCAGAAAGAAGGGGGAATTGGAGCAGAGGAAACAGGGTGACAGGAACACAAGGAACAGTGGCTATTGGAATAGCTATCCACGCAAAGTCATCACTTAGAACAATGAAAAGAGTGGCTCCAAATGCTGCCATCATGGTTGCTATAGAGATAAAGAGAGCTGCAAACCCTATTATCAGCCTGTTTGGTAATGAATGCAGGAAATCTTCTTCTGCGTAGCGGGAGGTGAGAATGGAGAGAAACATCAATATTGAGGTGGCAGAGCAAAATAGTGCCAATGCATCCGATATGGCGAAAATAAAAAATGACCTGTGATGTAGAAAAACAGGCTTGCCTGTAAGATTGTTATTGCCTCCTGGTACAGTGAAGGCTGCAGCAAACATCACAGTTGCAATAAGTGTTGCGACAAGCATACATGAAGATGCAGTGTCTTTCATCCACTTTTCCCCTTCGTGAGTCTTCTATGCTCCTCCGAAAACAAAATATGAGGTGTCCTACCCTCGGAATTTTTGGTTTCTCTATAAGACGGTTGAACAACTTTTTCGACTTCCTGCCATATCAAAAAGACAGTTCATCAACATTCAAACCCAGAAAGAAAATGGTTAATTGAGTTCAGGTTTTGCTTCATTTACATGTTATTTCCCAATAAAACTAATTACTATGAAGTGCAAGTTTTATAGTTGAAAAGTAATTATTAACCTTGAACCAATGCAACTCTCGTCTAAGTTGCAAAGCTGCACCAGAATCAATTTTGAGTCTCTCTGGGGGGGGGGCAAGCTTTCCAGCCAAATGCAACATGTTATTGTTATTTTCATCTTCATAAGCTGCTATCAAATCTTTATGAGCGCCAATCTCATGAATCAGATTAAAAATGTTTTCTTAACGATGCAACACTGCAATGTGAAATATGCTTTGACTGTGATCATCTACTTTCCAAATAAGGTCAGGATACATCCGAATCAGCACTTTAATGAATTCAACATTCCCCAACTCTGCAGCGGTGAACAACAGTCTTGAAGGTTTCCGAAGTAGTTCTCCAATTTTATAGTCATCTAGCAACAACACTTGCTCCCACAGTTGCTTCACCAATTCTAGAGCTTGAAGATGCATCAACTTTTTGTCAAGGATTGCCCTGAAACGTGAAACTGAATGTGCAGGACACAGTCACCTCTTTGTCCAAAATCTTTTATTTTTTAGAAGGAATAAATAAGCAGTTAACGATTAATGTGCAAGAGTAATGACAGTGAGAAATGGCCTGTAATGGAGTTACTAACAAGAGTAAATGCACCTCTGCCAAATTCCAATCCTACTTCCACTTACAAATGCTGAAGGCTTCCGTGCCAATACATGAAGAGCCGTCTCTCTTCTTCCATCTCGAACAACAGCTAACTCAGGATGATGCTTAATTAAGTCCAATGCCACATCTGTTAAATTAACACAACACAATCATCAATTTGCTCCTCTAGATATTATAAATTAAGTTGCAATATGAAAATAGTGAAGGTAAGAGGTGGGTACCATAGAGGCCTGCATTGATGACAGCAACAAGAAGCTCTACACGATCTTCTTCTTTTAGATACTCTTCCTCAGTCACAGAATAAAGATACCAGACCATTTCTCTGTGGCCTAACAAAGCAGCCATACACAACGAGGTTGCTCCCTTACTGCCTCGAATTGATGGCAACCTACTGTTCTTATTAACCATCACCTCTGCAATCTTTTTGATTCTGGATATGGCAGCAAAACAGAGGGCTGTGTTCCCAACCTTGTTCGGCAGTGCCAGGTCTTCAGGTTTCATGATGTTCACAAGCTCTTGGACAAAAATTGTATGTCTAGCTCCAGCAGCAATGTGAAGAGCTGTTTCCTGGTTTCTCGTGATCCTAGCACATACTGCTTGTGGATTCAAAATCAAAAACTCCCTTGCAAACTCCCAATCGCCTTTAAGCGCCGCATTATGTAGAGGAACAAAAGCAGTAAAGTAATTCCTTTGTACATCACCTGCAAAAAAAAAAAAAAAAAAAAAAAAAAAGCAAGACCATGAGAGCCATGCTGGAGTATTTTTATTTCTCCATCATATAATTTACATAGGTATTAATTAGAGGAAATTGAATGAACTTTGCAGCAGCATACTAGTCTCTACAGCTCGTGTGTTTGGTTCCCCGGAAATAGATGGCATTTGATTGCTTGAATCATGAAAGGGCCAAATTGATTGATCTAAAACGACATGGTCATCAAATTCTTTAGCTTCCAGAAATTCTATTGGGCTTTTTACAGCTTGATGATGTGATTGAAGATGAGAGTGTTGAATATCAGAGGCAAAATTGAAGGAAGTTTCATAGTGGCCATGATCAAATGTTGCTGGCCCAAAAGCATCTTTCAGGCTCAAGTCATTGTCAGAAAATATGCCTAAGCTTGCATCATCTTCCCCAGAAGATTTGCAAGAGGAATTTGCAACAGATTTGATCTCAGGGAAACAAGATTGAATTGAAAGTCCCCTCCCATATTGTGATGAAGGAAGGTTGTTCAATATCATTATCTTCAATGAAAAGTACTGCCTGAGAACAAGCAAAATCAGTAGTACAACAAAAAGAACAACAAAAAATGTAGTGCTTTATTAGGAGTTAGGACATCACCGTTTCTGGTTCTGAGCAGCTCAATCAGATAAAAGACTTTGAACCTCCAAGCAGCTACCAGTCAACCAAGAACATGTAGTGCCGAATAATGATTTGAGAAGTTTGGAATGTCAAAGGCAAAAGTTGAAACAAAGAGTAAAGTTATTTTCTTGTGTTTGAAAACTGATGGTTGCGGTTTTCTTGTAGCTCTTAGTTATTGACCCACGTATGCAATTGGATTGATCAACGCTTTCACACTTAACTTTATGCATATAATTGAAAAAACTGGCACCGCTGCTTTCTGAAAAAGTTCAAAGCATGATATTAAGACATGGGACCGCTTAGCTCTTGGTTCTTGCTCTGCCGTTTGCGTTGACTGGAAAAGTCTCTTACGGGGATCTTTCCATGGTCCAACGCGTTGTAGGTATGTAATTCATTGATAATTTCTCAAAAAGTAAACCTGTACAATTTTCTGGTCTAATTAGAAACCATGTAGCAATAGAAAGTTGACTTTTTTAAGCACTTAACTTTTCTAACATTCAAAAAATCATTAGTAGATTTTGAGAATACAATTGAAGTACATAAGATCGAGCTATTTATATGTACCTCGCTTCTCTTTATTGCATACTTTCTTCTATTAAGAATAATACTATACCAACAACATTTTTTCACAAACTTTCTCTCACAACTCTAACGTGGCAACTTGTAATTGGTCAATTCACAATAGGTCTTATATGGGTTATATTAATTAATTACAAACTGATTAATTGCGAGTTACCACGTCAGGGTTGTGAGAGAAAGTTTATGAGAAAATGTTTGTTAGTGTAATATTACTCTTCTATTAAATCTAAGGATTACAATGCTAAGTAAATGTCATAACGTCTTTCAAAAGAATAATCACACTAACAACCCTCTCTCACAATCTTGATGTGACAACTCACAATTGGTTAATTCACAATGGAACCACATGATACCACTAATTAATTGCAAGCTGACCAATAGTGAGCTGCCATGTCAAGATTGTGAGAAAAGGTTGTTGGTGTAATATTACTTCTTTCAAAATACAGTTAGAATTTGAAGGAGGCAGTAAAGGGTTAACCTTACTTCAAGCAAGGGATGCTCGACTCCTTGTGAGGGCAGTATTTAAAACACATTTTTTTCTTGTTATAAATAATAGCAATCATAGAACAAATTACTTCATTGTAAATGAGAGAAGTGAGATAGTATTAAAATAATATTAATTCTACTAGACGTAGCTTATTAAATAGGTGAACCAAATTAAATCACACGTATCTCTTCTTTTATTTTACTGTTTTGATTTGTGTGTTTGTTGTTAATTTGTTTTCGTATTACTCTCTATTTCATTCACAAACCACATAGTTGTCTTTTTGGTAAACAAATATCTTAAAAGCATACCTTAGATTTCTATCCGTATTGTTAAGTACATTGGGTTTCTTCGCTGTCATTCAAAAGACCCTTCTTCATGTAAGGACTTGAAGAGAAAACTGGCAGTCAGAAATTTCTGCATGAACTTGCAGACTGGCAGAGAAGCCATTATGGTGACAAGAGTGGGAACACATTAGCATCCCATCTTTGAAGATGATGAACATAGTTGCAGAACATACTACCATCATTGCTGCCACTGATAAGGCGAGTGTGTCATATCCCACAGCCATATTATGAGGCAATAGTAAAAGGAAATCTTCTTCCACATATCGGGAATGGAAAACTGATAAGAAACTTAGAATGGAGAAAGAGGATAAAACCAGCGCTATATAGCATCTGATATGGCAAAAATTATAAAGGAAGCTTTTCGAACAAAATTAGGAGTTCCAGTCTCTTCTTTGGTGCCACCAGGTACTGTCAAAGCTGCTGAAAAAACTACAGTGGCAATAGCCATCAAGCATGAATTTACAGTGTCCTTAATCCATCTCTCAGCTTCATCCTTCAACTCTTTGTGCTGTTCATTAAATATAGCTCTAGCATTTTTTCCTTCTTTATTTGTAGCTTCAGCATCCAATGGATGTAAAAAATTTTCCACAGCCTACAGGAGTTAGTTATGGAACATTTATTAATCAAGGACAAGAAATATATTGTTTTACAAAACGAAAGATTGAAGTAAATATTCACCTTGAACAACAACAGCTCCCCTCACAGTTTGGCAAGAATTCCAGCTGATTTGATATTGGGACTATCAGATGGTGGCAACCTTGCAGCCAAACGCAAGATATTGTTCCCTTCATTACCTTTGCTCTGAAGAACCAAATCCTTCAATGAGCCTATCTCATATATGATTTTGAAGACGAGTTGGTGACGATACAGAACAGCAAAATGAAATATGCTGTAGTTATTTTCATCAATTTCAAATAACAGATCAGGATAAGCATCCGGGATTAACCTTAGAAACTTAATGTTTCCTCGTTTTGCTGCCTCAAATATCAGTGGCCGAGGTTTTCTAATAATATCTAAAATGTCAGAGTCACCCAAAAACATTACAAGGCACCGGACTAGATCAAAAGCCGAGTCGGGAGTCTCTTCACCAGTCACTGAAACAGAAAGTTTGGTTAAGCCAACATTAATTTGCAGAAAAATCAGTAACTTTGCTGAATACATAATATAATTAAGTAAACAAAAACCCTCATCCAAAAAAAAAAAAAAAAAAAAAAAAAATCAAACAAGAGTACTCACGAGTGAGGTCCCTCATCCAAGACCTCCAAGTCAGACTTCTCCTCCACTCTTTCTCTCTCTTCTTCAACTGAACCCTCCAGCCCAGCTTATTATTCCTCCTCTGTTTCTCCCTTTCCTTCACCCACAGCCTCCCCCATGCTGAATAAAGTGTCTCTACCATGTCACTTGTATTTTCAATAACTGCTTTGACAACAAGAAAGCACATTGTTTCTTACATACAATTGCTTTTGATTGTGAAAACGGATAGCTTAGTGTCAAAATGAGAAACCATTGTTTAGTGTTTTAGAGTATGTGGTGGTGAGTTACAAAGTTAATAGCTCATAGATGTCAGATGGAAAAACAAATTTCGTGATAGAAACCACAATAGGAAGTCAGAATAAATCAAGGCATGCTGAAGGCATTAAAGATAAAAAGAACTAACATATGTTGAATAATCTCTTCAAAACTCCAGCCACTGGTCGATCAAGAAAACGCATCAATACAGGCATGCGAGCCAAGGCATGCAATGCTGTCTCCTCATTTTTATCTCGTGCAGTGGCCAACTCAGGGTGCCTCCTTACCAAATTGAATGCAACATCTACAAAGAAAAACAATCAACATCATGAATAATATCAACTAGATCCAACCCATCTTTAAAAAACCTATCTTTACATCCAAGATAATATTAAAAAGGAAAACACCTAGAATACCAAGAAAATATAATGTCAGTTATTTATGCCATTTATTATCTTTCTCTGATGTCATTTATCTTTATGGTATATTGATGGTGATTAAGTTGAATATCTATGTGTAATCTCGTAGTGTTATATATTCCCTCTTTATATAGATAAGGATTTTTTTATTAATTAGGTCTATCAAATCATTTGTCCGTTCGTAAGAAAATCATAATCTTCTCAGCCAAAAGATGTTGAGAATGACTTAGTTTAGCCCAAAAATAAAAGAAAGGACTTACCATACAACCTACGGTTTATCAGATTGACAAGCAATTCGATGAGATCATTATCATGATCTAACAATTTGTATCCAGTGGCTTGATAAAGGTATTCTACCATCTCTTCGTTTCCCATAAGAGCTGCCTTGTGAAGTGGTAACATATCATCTTCGCCTCGAATCATCACTAAGTCTCCATTTTTCTCCATCATGGCCTCAGCAATGTCAACCTCTCCGGAGGCAGCAGCAAGAAAAAAAGCTGTGTTGCCAACATTATTTTTGATAGTTAAATCCTCCATTTGCATCTGTTCAAGCAGCTTTTTCACAAAACCAGTGTGCCTTGCTGCAGCTGCAATATGGAGAGCGGTGTCTCCTTCCTTTGATAGCTTAGCTGCTATATAATCTTTATCTTCCTCGTAAATTCTTTCAGCTGTATTCCAATCACCCTTAAGTGCAGCCCGGTACAATTTAAAGTGCCTAATTCTTCTTTCATTACCTGTAAAGTTGAAACAAACAGATTTATGCATAAAATTTTTGTTATACATGTGCTTCTCCACATGTATCAGTGTATTTAATTTAGGTATAACTGTGTAAGCTAGAAAGATTATATTAAATTAAATCTAGTGACATTTATTTACTTTAGAAAAAGAGGCCTATATCCTATAATCATATATAATAAAAGACTTTACCTTCTGAGGATGATGTAGAATTTATTACCAGCACAGGTTCTTCTTCTGTAGTTGAAGATCCAATTTGTTTTTGGTTAACATTCCCACAGAGTACCATTGAGATTGAAGACTCCTTCGAGACATCCACATTAAACTCTGATGATTCAAAATAAAAGAAAAATAGTACTGTTAGCAAAATTTAAAGAATTGGTTACATGAAGGATTGTAAAAGGGTATGCGTTCAGCAAAGGAAGATATTAGCATTCATTCCAATGTCAAAAAGTACCAGCCAGTTTCTTATTAGGTGAAGCAATCACAATCTCAACTTTTTCTTCAGTTAAGGTACTTCCTGGTGTAGCATTATCCTTCATGAGTCCTGATTAGTGGTAAATCTACCAAAAAACCTTATAAACTGATTTTTTTATTCTTAGTTTTCCAGGGCAGACGCCAAATCATTCCCAGAAAGAACTTCACTCTAGGCCACCGTTCGGATTTCACTTGAAAATCAGTGTCAAACATTGGTTTTACAAAGCAAGCTTGATATGACAGATTACAGGTTTGAAGCATTATTAGAGGTTCTATATTTGGATGAATTAAGATATAAGATTAAAATGTTCAGATTTCTTCATGATTTGATAAATACTGTTCAATGATTGTTATTGTTATTAAAATTAGGCTTAAATGTAATGAATTGCGAGTGAAACTAACCTACACTCCTGTACTCAGGGCATGATTAACTTCTGATTTACTTCCCCTCCTTTACTTGCATTTCCAACAAATAATGAAGGGATGGTAGCATATATCGAGTGAGTCCTGTAATCAAGGATTTCAATTTAATCAAACTATTATTTTAAAGGGTTACAAGACCAGAGAGTTGCAGCATCGGATTATGGACAAATAGAAAAATCACAATAGCATAGATTCAAAATTTGTGTAGTACCATTAATTGTTCAGTACACTGAGTTACTTCCTCTTCTTTGGCTCCATTGCTTTCCCTTGGCACGTTTGTGTGGCTGGAAAAGAGAGCTACTTACATATGTAGAACGCACCACATCAAAAAGGAGACGCCATTGTTGCTTAGTGAACAAAAGGACTGGTATAGAAGTGATTACAGTAACAAGAATAGGAACCCACAGCACTCCATCTTTGAAAACAATGAAAATAGTCGCACAAAACACTACCATCATTGCTGCTATTGATAATAAAAGTGTTGTAAGTCCAGCAACCAGCTTTTTTGGTAACTGTGAGAGGAAATCTTCTTCTGCATACCGGGAAGTTAGAATGGATAAAAAGGTTAAGATGGAGCAAGCAGAAGATACAAGCGAAACTGCATCTGAAAAAACAAAAATTTTGAAGGAAGTTTTTTGAACAAAATGAGGAGTCCCTGTCTCGTCTTTGGTGCCACCTGGGACAGTGAAAGCTGCTGCAAAAACCACAGTGGCAATAAGAGTTGCCACAATCATGCAATAGTTTGCAGTGTCCTTCATCCATTTCTCTCCCTTTCCCTTTAATTCTCCTTGCTCCTTAGTAAATAAAGCTCTAGGAGTTTTCCCTTCACTGTTTTTATCCCAGGCATCCAATGGATGCATAATTTTACTGACCTCCTACAAATAATGTTGTAAAAGATCTTAGCAATTAGCGTAACGAATATTGCTTTCTGAACAAAGGAGAACCGTAACATTCACCTTAAACCACAGCAACTCTCGCTGCAGTTGCAGAGCAGCTCCTGATACAACATTGAGCCGATCTGGTGGTGCCAACATTCCAGCCAAATGCAAGATATTATTGTCTTTTTTATCCTTAGAAGCAACTATCAAATCCTTAAAAGTACCTATCTCATGTATGAGTTTTAAGATGTCCTTACGATGATTCACAACAGCAAAATGAAATATGCTATAATTATTTTTATCAACTTCCAGTATCAAATCAGGATATTCACATATAAGTATAGTTAGAAACTCAATGTTTCCTAGTTCTGCAGCAACAAATATCAGTTGTCGGGCAGTTTTAATAATATTTGAAACTGCAGAGTCATGTGACAATATGATTTGTTCCCAAAGGCATCGGATTAGTTCAAGTGCTTTTGGAGGCAACTTGGCGTTGGCACCTGAAACTACAAATTTGATTAGCCAACATCAGCGTACATAAATCTTTAGGCTGGTTAACAATGACAGAAGTCATTTCGATTCATCCTAAATAAGTAAAAGAACATAGGAGATTTACTACCTAAACAATTCGAAAGGGAAACATTTTCTAGGCAATACTTAACCATTTATGTAATGGTCAAGTTAAATTTGGAATTTGATTAATACTCCGAATCACACAATAAAAATGTTCAACAATGTAACCTACAGTAACCTACAGTAACCACAACACCACCACTTCATTATGCTATAAAAGAGATCACAGTATTGCATAAATGCCATATGGCCAAAATTTTGATTTGTGAAAAGTTCCGAACAAATTCTATATTTCAATAATCAAGATAAATTAGCAGTTTGAAAATATATTATAAAAATCCTTTAGAGTCAGAACACACTTGCAAATGATTCTTTGGCAAAAGGTGCTGGTAAGTATAAGAATATATTGTGAAATTATATCAAATTCAACTTGCTAAGAAAATATTTACTAATAGCAGGTTCACAAAAATGGTTTCTGAAAAAATTAAAAAAGGTTAAAGCGCAAATTTTCATATCTGCTTGCGCTCCTAATCATAATTGTCATGTAAACATATATTTCAACTACAAAACCAAAAACAGTAACTTATATATTAAGGCATGCTGAATATGTCAAAGATTAAAGGAGACTAACACAAATTGACACGTTGTTTCCAAAATCCTTGCTGAATTTGAGAGGCAATAAGCGTTTGAGCCAAGGCAAGCAATGCTGTCTCCTCATTTCCATCACAAGCGACGGCTAACTCCGGGTGTTTCTCTGGCTAATCCAGTGCAACATCTGAGAACACAACAATCATTATTAGAGATGATATAGTATCAATTCTAAATAGTGGAAGCACGCAGTTGTTATACATAATACTATATTAATTAAGTTGCATACAAGGAAATTTTCAGTTTTGTATTCACCAAGCCACTTGTGTTATGAAAGGGTTCTTTCATTTGTTTTGTCAAATCATATCTCTCCTGATGGGAATTCACAGTGTTCCTTAAAAGAATAACTGGACATTTGTCAAAAAATATACAAAGGAAGATATATTAATCTGACCACCATACATGGAATTTCAATCCTATACCAAAGGTTTCAATCTTACATTGTAAAATTCAATTAAAAAGGTATCAAGTGCACTACAATTAGCCAAAATTTAAAAAATACCTTCTACATACCATACAAACCGTTGCTTATTAGAGTGATAAGCAATTCAATGCGGTCGTTGTCGTGTAATGACTCGTCATCAGTGGCCTTATAAAGGAACTGTACCATCTCTTTATGGCCAAACAGAGCGGCCATGTAAAGTGGTGACATCTCATTTCTACCTCGGATCATTGCTAAGTTTCTACTCCTTTCCAGGACATCAGCTAAGTTTGTACTCTCCTCTATCATGTTGGGAAGTTCCACCTTCTGGGACTCAACAGAGAGACAATAAGCTGTTTTTCCAGCTCCTTTCTTTGTAGTTAAATCCTCTTTTTTCATCTTATCCATCATCACTTGAGCATGTTCCACATTTCCAGACACAGCAGCAAGACAAAAAGCTGTAGTGCCTGCATAATTTGTAGTAGCTAAATCCTCTTTATTTATATTATCCACCAGCTTTTTCAAAAAATCAGTTTGCTCTGCTGCAGCTGCAATATGGAGAGCAGTGTCCCCGTCCTTTAATATCCTCGCTCTTATATCATTTTTATGTTTCTTGTAAATACCCTCAGCCATGCTCCAATCACCACTTAGTGCAGCTTGATACAATTTTAAGTGTCTAATTCTTGTTTGCTTGTCTGTCAAGTGGAAGCATTTATAACAAGTTTTATCAATAAAATTGTTGATTCTTTAAAATATGCATATAAAAATACACATATAGGCACCAATATCAATCTATATTAAATAGTAGCTAATATCATGCCTTTGGAAAACAGTTTCTTGCCAAGTTGGCAAAGTGATTGGAATGAAGCTAAAAGATTTTCCCATGGTAAACAATAGCATAGGTATAACACATTGTAAAATCTAAGCATACCAGCCAATTGACCATAAGGTGAAGCAATGACAATTTCAACTTCTTCATTTGAACCAATTCCGGATGCAAAGGTATCCCTCATGATTTCAATAGTCGGCATTTGTGGTAAACCTACAATGAACTTTATATTGTTAGATAAGTTGAATTTGATAGATTTCTCTTTTATTACAAAATAATACTTCCATCAAATTTTTAAATAGTAATTGATTTATCAACATTTGAGTTAACATTACCATATAAAATGAATGATGCAGATAATATCATAAGAGAAACAAGAGTGTTGCATTAGTTATCATATCCATAGTATAAAAGAATCGTAAAGCAAGAAGAAGACATTAGATGCGTTTCATCAAATAATGCATAATCTTAGAATTTCAGGATGTCATTACTATTTTGATGTTTTAATAAAACTGATAGTTATATTACTATTTTGATGTTTTAATAAATCTGATAGTTATATTACTAGAATTCTACCACAACTACAGAGTACATAACAATGTAAACTGTGGTGCTTTACATTTTTGAGGTATTGACAATGACCTCCCCTATCGTTTGGGGAAAGTTTCTAATAAGAAGACCTCTCTTCAAGGTCATTAATTAATGAAAAAATGTCATCTTAAATCATCTTAATAGTCCTCAAATTTTTCTTTACATTGTAAATAATTAATAAAAGGCCTTGAAAGGAGGTCTCCTTACAATTCAACAACTTTACGGTCCAGCTAAACATTCCTCAAACCTCAGGGAGGTCATTGCAAACTACCTTAGTCTAAACTTAACCTTCTCCCCACTACATGATATTTCAATCTAGAAGATAAAAAGTTTCTGACCTCCATAAGCAAATTTTTTTATGAACTGAACATTTTGCAAAATTTAAGTGTAAACTACTGAGTTGCACAACAGGTTGGACAAATATTAGCCTAAATTTAAGGATTAAAAGGAAAATTGTACAGAAAATTGAAAAAAAAAAAAAAAAATCATAACTTTTTTGCCCTCTTCGTAATACTGATAAGTATTGGCATGCCCAAAAGCTATTTACAACGGTAGTCCTAAAACAACCAAAAATTGAAACTTGACAAAATAAAACAAAAATATACGTTAAAAAGAAGAACTAGTTTCAAAAAGCTTACCTTTTTTACGGCTTAAGATGCTATCTCCAACTCGAAATGGGAAAATGAAGAAATAAAAGCTTCAAGTGAAGAGAACAATAATGAGGCTGAAAGCTGAGAAAGAGTGAAGTATTGGCAGAGAGAAGAACAATGGCACACCATCACCACCTCAAACAGAAGTCTCAGCAGCTCTGCTTTGTGGCTCTCTCTCTCTCTCTCTCTCTCTCTCTGTTGAAACCAAGACCAAGAACTACACAGTAGCTATTCACTCAAAGAAAAGGAACACCCTTTACCGATTAACCCTCTGTTTTCAGTTTATTACATCCATACTAGACCTGGCAAAACGGGTGGGTGAGCCGGGTACGGGCCGGGTAAAACGGGTACGGGTAAAACGGGTACGGGTCCAAAACGGGTAGATCTATACGGGTCCAATATTTTGGACCCGTGCCCTACCCTATACGGGTACGGGTGGACCCGCGGGTGGACCGTTTTTTCTCTCTCCAGCTTTCGGTTTTGACAGTTTCACCCCTAACAGTTTTCAATTATGACAATTACACCCCCAAAATTCCTGCAGTTTTAATTTTTTACATTTACACCCCCTAAATCAACTACTCTAAATTCAATTCAATTCAAGTAAGACTATAAACAAATATGAACCAAAAAAAACAATAAACAATAAACAAAACATAACATATAATACAAAACTACAAATACCAACCAAAACAAACAAATACAAAATCACTAATACACAATTACTATATAACAAACCAAATAAGTCAATAAACTATAAATACCAATTAAAATAAAAAATACAATCCAATATTCAACAAAAAAATTCTTAAGACAGCAAATGTTCATTCCACAGTGGGCGTGATAGAGTCTCTTGATTCCACGGTCTCGAGATCAGTCAATGGCACATCAAGATCATCATCCGAATCATCTTTCACTCATTATCTACAAAACAAGATCAACTACAAATATTAATAAATGAAATAATAAAATATACGAAATATTATGTAACATGTTACCTTCAAATCATATCCATATAGCACGTTCGAGTGCATATCAAAGATTCTGCATTTTTGGTCGAAGTGAGCTTCGATATTTGTTGGCACTTTACTACCAATACTAAAAGCGGACTCTGAGGCAACGGATGTTATGTATTGCCTGAATCACGAGCCCATCATGGTAAGTACCGGATAACGATCACGAATTCTTCCAATGATCGAGGATATCCAAATTCTGATATTGAAGCGATCAAACCTCATCTCTTCCAAATAAAGATATCTAACTGGATTTCTTAGTGGAAATGAAAACACTCTCATAGCTGTCAAAATCCTACTCATTTAAACAGTTAACTGTCAAAGTTAAAATTAAACAATAAACAATACTTTATTTATCAAAAGAAATAAAAAACAAAAGTATAGTGACTTACGAAGAATGATCTCACAGCCTACTAGAAGTAGAACTACTCGCAGGAGAAACAACTGAAGGTGAGGCAGGACTTCTTTACAACATCTAGCCTCGTAAGCTTGAAAAGTTTTGCAAGTTATTCTAACAGTCTCAACTTCAGTACGGCGTATTTGAATCATAAACTTTGTTGAAAGCGTACTCCACAAACTGAAACTTGAGACGTGGGTCAAGAATGTGCAATCGTCAACACAAAACTATAAGAATCCAATATTTTGTAAATTTTGGGATCATTTGTTTTGCCATGTTCTTAACAACTTCATCCTCACTCGTACTCTCTTCAATTAAACGCAATTGAATTTCCCACACACATTTCAAGTACAAGTTTGCTGTAGGATATTTAGAACTGAGAATAAAGTCGTAATATCATTAAATGGTTCCAAGAACTTGCATATCCTCTCCCCCCTATCCCATTCTTCATTTGATGGACAAAATTTATAATTAGGATCTATTGTTGACAAAGCCACAAACACGGGACGAAATATTAACGTTATCAAGCATTAAAAATGTCGAATTCCATCTAGTGGAAACATCCAATCTCAACCCCATTGAGCTTTCACTCCATTTGTACGCAAGTTCTCCAAATTGATTCTCCTAGCCTCAGCTTAATATATTTCACACTATCTCGAATCTTATTCAAAGCAACACTAGCAACTCTTAACCCTTCTTGAACAATAAGATTCAAGATATGTGCAGAACATCGCACATGGAAAAATTCACCTTTACATAACAAAGCATTCTGCACACAAAGCTGTTCCTCAAGATACTCCATCCTATCATTACTACTGCATTATCCAAAGTAATTGAGAAAATTTTCTTTTCAATACCCCACTCTTGCAGAAATTATGATATTTTCTGCCAAAACAACCCCTGAGTGTGGAGAGGAAATGACAAAAGTCAATATTTATTCTGTAACTCCCAATCCTCATCTATATAATGACTGTCAAAGAAATATATCCCTCAGTTGTACCAGAGATCCAAACATCAGAAGTTAAGCATATTCTACTTGTCAGCCTCCCTAATTCAAGCTTAGTTTTTTCTCATCCTTTCAAATATTTTAAGCAATCCGCCTTAGCGGTGTTCCTAGAATAATGCACAAGCTCATTACACACATATGAAAAGACTCTCTAGTTCCTTGATTCTCCACATATGAATATGGAGTTATGTTGAATAATTGATAAGGCCATATTACGAAAAGTCTCTTGACTAATCTTTCTACTTTGCAATCATGATTATGATCAATCAATAATTGCCCTACATCATGGTTGGCACGTTTTGGACAATTCTGTATATGACGCTTCATATTTTTAGTCCCATGTGTGGCACTACCATATGCATAAGATTTACTGCATGCCTTACACCTAGTCCTTTCAGTGTTATTCTCAACATATATCTCAAAATAATTCCAAACTTCTGATGTTTTACGTTTATTTCTAGAACTAGTTGTAGGAATACTAGAACTAGAAGGAGGTGGCATTACCCTAGAAGCATCGTCACTTGCTCTCACGTTAACCATATATGTATCTATAGTTTCTGAATCCGCCATGTCAATGCTTGAGACTACAAAAAAAAAAAAAATATATATATATATATATATTAGGTCTCTCACACACACTCAAAGGATAATACAATAAAATAACAAAGGATAATACAATAAAATAAAGAAACAAACATCAAGAATTTAGTGCTGATATCATATTCATTTAATCACTGTACTTATAAACCAATTTATCTTTTCATTTTTGTTTAATTATGGCTTGATTTCCGGATTTTGCAGGAGAGGGAATGGTAGTTGAAAGTTGCCACCGAGTGGAATTGCCATTTGCCACCATTTGTACCAAGAGAGGGTCTATATAAGTTTTGTAGTAACCTACGTAATTGTTGCAATTATGTATGTGAATCGTTATTAGAGACAAGTTTAATAAGTTGGGTGCTTTTCATTTTTCTGATTTTTAGCTGATTTTTCTGTCTTTATTGTATTACTTACTTAATGAATTGAATAAAACGATTGGTAAAATTGCTTGAACGTTGCTTTTAATTATTTAGGAGTGATTAATAAGATTTGATTAATGGGAGCTAACTATTTCATTGAAATTTAGAAGAAAATGGAATGTAAGAAACTTGAAATTTATGTTTTTATGATATTTTATAAACTTTTCTCGGCTATAGAAAGACAGCTGAATTATCTAATTTAATGTTGATTCTTTTATGTATTGGGTAATTTGTGTAGGTCCAGTGGCCACAACAGCAACCCCCCTTGGAAATGAAACCCCTTTCAAGGAATCAAAAGGTGGATTATATGTATGTTAGCCTTTTCCTTTTTTCCAATTTTCCATATATATATCTTGCTTCAACTTAATATATATATATCTTCTTATTTTTCTCATTTTTTATGGGAATTGAATTCTATTTTACTTTATCTAATTATTATAGAATGTGTTTTGATAATTGATTTGTACTTGATGAATAATTATAAAGTTAATTGAACCTATAACAAAATTTGTTTCATATTCCAAAGGATTTT